GGGTGGTATTTGGGTATCAGGTCGGTGAGGTAGTTTGGGGCAGCGTTATGAATGGCTTTGTATGTCAATGTTGGTAGTTTGAATTTAATGCGTTGGGCAATCGGAAGCCAGTGGAGGGAATCACAGAGGGGGGTGGCAGAAGCGGAGCGGTTGGTAAGGTGGATGAGTCTGGCCGCTGAGTTCAGGATAGACTGAAGCGGGGATAGCCTGTGTTGTGGTAGGCCGGTGAGAAGGGAGTTGCAGTAGTCCAGATGTGAGATAATAAGGGGGAGTGAACGAGTTGTTTAGTAGTGTCTGGGGTTAGGAACTTTAAGTGAAAGGTAAAGTGAAGTGAAAAGATAACTACTGGTGTGGTTATGGAAATCCCATATACTTTTCTTTTAAGTTCACTGTATCTGAATTAAATTAAATTAAATAATTACATTATTCATGACAATTAATAAAGATTTGCAGCCTCTCCCCTCCCTCCCTCCCTTCCCTACTTTTAGGCTGTAACAGCCTCCAATCCTCTGGGACTGGTCAAATTTTGTCTTCATGGATCTGGCTTTATGCACATGGAATATGATCATGTTGTAAAAGAAGAGTACCTTCCCAAAACTTATCACAAGGTTGAAAGCACGTAATTGTTTAACCCCCCTGGCGGTATTCCCGAGTGTAGCTCGGGGTTAACTTTCAGTACCAGAAGCGGTAACCCCGAGCTACACTCGGGAATACCATGCAGCGTTGCTTAGGGATTCCATCGATCACTTACTTTGTCCTGCCCTCCTGCGATGTCCCCCCTGCAGCGTCCCTGACCATGTCCTCCAGCCGGTGCTGGAATCCATCTTCCGGGTTCTTTTCCCTGCGAGGGTCGGGATGTACGGGACAAAGGGGGGACAGAACAGTCGGGAATTTCAAAAATGTTAAAATTTGACATTCACTCAATACACTACAATCTGATAGTATTACATTACTGTATCAAATCATTTCACATACATTTTGTCCCGAGTGCTTTGTCCTGTGCCCTGCCTGCATTTTTACTGTTCTTTCTGACTGGAAACTGAGAAACGTCCATGGCATCCAAAAGCGGTTTTAGACCAGCTAGAAAACAGCGATAGTAAATTAGAACCACTTGCAGAATTGAGTGATAATGATTCGTGGGGAAATTCGTCAACAGACACTGAAAACGATTTTGCGACTTTGCTCAGTGATGTGCGAACTTGGTGCTATATTTCGAATTTCAGTGTTTTTGGTTTGATTACATTGAATTAAAAATTATTATTATATTATTATTTTTTATGATTATTTATTATATTATAATTTATGATTTCGGGTTTTAAATTTTAACATACCCGGGATGTTTACTAGACTCTTGTTCGGACAGATTTCAGTGACTTATTCTCAAGAATTACAGACCTACAATAAAAAAAACTACATATTTCCATGCAAAAAAATGTACCACTTTGAGCACAGAAATACTGACATAATCAGACCGCTAGGGAGGTTAAAATGCTATGTTGTACATAACATTAACAGTACTCTTCAATGGAAATATGGAGAGGCATCCAAATAGTGTGGTCTATATGGTCTAACGTTTGTCCATATAATGTATATTAGGGATGAGGTTTGAATTCACTGCTACCATGGGTTCCATGGGCTACCATGAGTAAATCCTGCAAGGTTTTTTTTTTTTTTTTGCAATTTCAGCAAATTAATATCCATTTTTGCACAGTCAAATTAAACCATAATGCACTGCACAGCCTTTGAACTATGGTCACCAGGTTTAGAAGGCCAAGCAATACATGAATGGGGTGGGTTGACTTCAGTGATTGCTAGGGTCGTGGTAGGTGCTGCACCCACCACTTCCTTTACAGCCATTGACAGGTAGGAAGCTGTCATATATACTGTAGTAGTGGTAGAAATACCACCTGTAATTTGAAATCACTATGTGTTTTAGGGTACATAAAATGATCCTTTCCCTCATGTACTGTATGTTGTGCTTTGTTTTTGTTTGTTTTATTTTGACATTGGTTCATGTCTCCCATGGCAGTTTCTGGCTTTTCATGATTTTGTTTGAAAGCAGCTTGCATATTAGCCACAAATGGCAATAAACGAATAACCAAATCCCTCTCCCCACCGACTGCTGTGTTGTTCCCCTCAAACTTTATGAACTTTGAGTAACATTTGCAAAACTGTTCATAAACCAAAACCCCAAAAGATCCACTGATCCCTAGCATACAGTATATATTCCTAGTTTGTGTAGCACATATTGGGGATATTTTAAAGTGACACTTAACAATATCCTTATTCTTCAAACATAATCCATACACATCCACTATTTAATGGCCTGTAATTTATTTTCACAAAATTGTTCCTTACTGTGATTTTCTGCCTCCTTGTAACACCGTGTACTGCTCTACGCACACTACAAATCCCATGACTATAGGATTTGTAGTGTGCGTAGATCAGCGCAGGGTGTTACATCCCTCCCAGGTTTCTACATCCCTTGTTTTCCATTGTCCAAATGAATGGACTCATAGTCTCTAGTCCATCTTTGGAGCAAACAAAAGAGGGTGACTTTGTTCCTTCATTCATTAGGACAATGGAAAACAAATGTAGCCACCCTCTAGCAGGATGTCAAATCACAGAACACAAAATGACTTGATTTGAAGAAGGCTGAGAGCGGTTACTGTTAGGAAGAGGCCAGGAGTTAAGTGTCACTTTAAGTTGACATTTACAAAGCTTATGTGATACATAACACTGCTTGGACGTAGAACATAATCACTTATGATCATGTTTCAGGAGCCTCACCATTTCAAATGAACCTAAGCTCATAAATCCCAGGCTCATGTTAACACTAAAAATGCCAAACTAACCCTCTGCACATTGCTATACACCCTTATATATTTCTAGTTAACTTTTGCATAAAAACAGGTGTAATTATCTGCAGCCCTTTACTGTCTGTATTTTCAAATAGGTTTTGTGTTTTAATTACCACAGAGCTAGTTGGTTACAGACTTCCTGTCCATGCCAGCTGGGCCAGAAACGCCAGTTGGAGGACTGAGATGTTATATAAAGGGGAGTTTCCAAGAAGTAGACACAAAACGCAGCCACGTGACCTTGCACACACAGAAGCTACTGTTTTTCAACCAGGCCAGAGACTATAAGGCAAGTATTGCTATGTTCTAATAGTTTAACTGGAGCTGCCCATAGCTCCTTAAGTGTGTATCTGAATCCTTATGATAGACATATCCTTGTCCTATTGTTAATATATCACATGCAGTGTCAGATAGCTAGATCTGTGCTACTGTATGTGTGTAGAGGTCACCTTCCAGTAAATTAGTAGGTGAGCCTGTTTCTTGCAATAGTTTATATGCAGCTCCTATTATTTTTAGTTTACCCTGTCCCTTCTAGTCTGGTATTCTTTAGCTAGTTTTAACGCAGAGCTCAAAACTAGCATAGGCTAGGGCCAGATTAGCCATCCAGGGCAGCCACTTTTGGTAGTTAGAGGTTGCATGACAGATTAGAATCTACTAGGTATTGAACACTGCTGCAACATTCCGGAAGTACACTATATTGCCAAAAGTATTGGGATGCCTGCCTTTACATGCACATGAACTTTAATGGAAACCCAGTCTTCATTCATAGGGTCCAATATTGAGTTGGCCCACCATTTGCAGCTATAACAGCTTCAACTCTTCTGGGAAGGCTGTCCACAAGGCTTAGAAGTGTGTCTATGGGAGATGTTTGACCATTCTTCCAGAAGTGCATTTGTGAGGTTAGGTACTGATGTCAGACAAGAAGGCCTGGCTTGCAGTCTCTGCTCTAATTCATCCCAAAGGTGTTCTATCAGTTTGCGGTCAGACAGGCAGGCCAGTCAAGTTCCTCCACCCAAAACTCGCTCATCCATGTCTTTATGGACCTTGCTTTGTGCACTGGTGCCATGTCGAAACAGGAAGGGGCCATCCCCAAACTGTTCCGACAAAGTTGGGAGCATGAAATTGTTCAAAATATCTTGGTATGCTGACATCTTAGGAATTCCTTTCACTAGAACTAAGGGGCCAAGCCCAACCCCTGAGAAACAACCCCCACACCATAATCCCCCCTCCACTAAACTTTACACTTGGCACTGGCATAATTCTCCTCAGGCAAGCAGAGTGATTCATCACTCCAGAGAACATGTCTCCACTGCTCTAGAATCCAGTGGCAGCATGCTTCACACCACTGCATCTGACACTCTGCATTGCACTTGGTGATGTAAGGCTTGGATGCAGCTGCTCGGCCATGGAGACCCATTCCATGAAGCTCTCTATGGACTGTTGTTGTGCTAAACTGAAGGCCACATGAAGTTTGGAGGTCTTTAGCTATTGAATCTGCAGACAATTAGAGACTTCTGCGCAATGTGCACTTCAGCATGCGCTGACCACGCTCTGTCATTTTACATGGCTTTTTCGTGGCTGAGTTGCTATTGTTCCCAGCTGTTCCACTTTGTTATAATACCAACTAACAGTTGACCTGTGGAATATTTAGTAGGAAGGAAATTTCAGGGATGGACTTATTGCACAGGTAGCAACCTATCACAGTACCACTCTTGAATTCACTGAGCTCCTGAGAGCAGCCCATTATTTCACAAATGTTTGTAAAAACAGTCTGCATGCCTAGGTGCTTGATTTTATACACCTGTGGCCATGGATCTGATTGAAACACCTGAATCCAATGATTTGGAGGGGTGTCCCAATACTTTTGGCAATATTGTGTATCTTTATTAATATCTATATACCTGAATATAGGTGCACAATTTCACTAGGAATCTTGTTGGGCCCTTTGATGTTATCTGTTTGTACATTAGATGTATGTAATATTATTCTTTTTTTTATCTAAGGCTTGTATTATTTCCATTCTGGTGTGCATCTGTATACTTATGTTAAAGTTATATGCTAGTTTATATGCTAGTTGCAGTAAGAGTTCCTCTGTTTCCAATTACTGCAGACCAGTATTTTTCGCTCCATAAGACGACACACAGATGACCATAAGACGCGCCTAGGTTTTAGGAGAAAAACAAGAACAAAAATATACTGAACCAATGGACTGCAGACACAGTACAGGGGATGACCAAAGTCTGCGGACACAGTACAGGGGATGACCAGGGGGACACAGTACAGATGACCAGAGACTATGGACATAGTACAGGAGATGACCAGAGACTGCAGACATACTACAGGGGATGACCAGAGACTGTGGACACAGTACAGGAGATGACCAGAGTCTGCGGATACAGTACATAGATGACAGAGACTGGGATAGACAGGAAATGACCAGAGACTGCGGACACAGTACAGGGATGACCAGAGACTGCGGACCCAGTACAGGGAATGACCAGAGACTGTGGACATAGTACAGATGACCAGAGACTGCAGACAGTGCAGGGGATGACCAGAGACTGCGGACCTTTGGGGAGGGAGGGGGAGCAGGTACCTGAATTGACAGGTACCCGCTCCCACTTCCGCGGAGTTGTCCTACCTTCTTCCCGCAGCGGCTTCTGTGACGGCCGGGTGCCCACTGCGCATTTGCGAGAAGCGCTGCGCTTTGTGAATGGCCCAGAGCCTTCTGGGACCTGTCATGTGTCCCAGAAGATGCCAGACCATTCACAAAGTGCAGCGCTTCTCGCGAATGTGCAATGAGCACCGGCTCTCACAGAAGCCACCGCGGGAAGACTGCAGCGCTGGAGCGAGGAACAGGTAAGGTCCTGCAGAAGAGAAAGAGCTGAGCGGCCGGCCCGATATTCCGACATGGTGGCGGCAGAAATACCAGACCGGCCACTTTACATTTGCTCCATAAGATGCACTGACATTTCCCCCCCTTTTTTGGGGGGAAAAAAGTGCGTCTTATGGAGCGAAAAATACAGTACTTTGATTAGATTATTGGTTTTAGTGACCAGGAAGGAAACCCCCTCTGTTCACAAAGGCCCTGCCCTGGGTGGAGGCACTGTCAGCTTTATTGCCAAAACCCATTCTGGTTCTTTACCAACAGGTTTAGCACACTATCCTGTTTGGGGAGGGTAATTTTTCATACCACCCCATAAGAGGGCTACAGAGGGATTCTTGGATTGCGTATATTGCAACACCTGCTCAAACTTGCCTGTTGTTGTCATCAATGCTCATTTGATACAAAATCCCAGTTTCTGCATGATGCATAATACATAAGAGACCATTTTTAATATATAACATACCACATGCTTGTGGTCTCTAAGCTATATAAAATGGACATATTTTACAAAATATTCTTTAGTATCTCTCTACTTTATTCCAGCTTATACTGTATTTGTAATGGAATGTGTTGCCTATTCCCCAAAGTATTATTCTACTGCTCAACTTTTTACTACTATTAGTATATTTTATAACTCTTTGTAATTCCAAATTAGGTATAGATTTTGCAAGTATATTTTTGTTTTGGTTTAATGAATTCATTATAATCTTAAAACTGAACTTTAAAGTGTTACTAAACCCTGTGTGTGCCCCTGAGGACGTGTTATTACACAAAACACGTTGGGTGGAGCCCTATAGCTCATGTCACGCCGCCGCTACTGAGAGCGGCGGCCATCTTGATACTCTATTATGCTAATTACCTTTACTACTCCACGTGGATACTTTTAATGTTACCTGTGATCATTATAATAAAAATACTATACTATAAGCACCTTTCTGGCTACTGTGGCTGACCTAATTCCTCCCTAGGACCACCTGGTACCCACCCTGATGGATGGAGCTGTATGACCTAAATCCGTAGTTGCCAGCATACCGCTGCACCCCCAGATGTGTGATGTTTTATAACCCATGCGCATTAATACTTTTGGTCTGGTGAGTGTACATCTGTCCCAAGGATGGATTCTTTTTCACGCATTCCTGCATCATTGTTCATCACGGATACATTACAAGTGAAAATCATGGGCACTCTCTCAGTTGATATCTTTGCACAAAGGACATTCCAATATTTATGAGTGATTTTATGAACTTTTACAACCCGTTTTTAGCACCAATACTGCATTTTTGTTGCACTTTATTCACCTATATGCTCAGTTTGCATGCATTTATGAATTGTGACATGCATTTATAGTGCTTCACTAATACTTTAGAAGTTACTAAACCCACAACAGTAAAATCAGTCTGTATATGCAGTAAAGCATGCTTGTTATACTCACTGTGGAACCTAAGGGGTTAATCCTCTGCAATATGTAAAAAGGCCATTTGGTCCTGTTTTCTCTGCCCCTCCTCTTGTTCAAATGTCCTCCTGATAAGACTGACTGAGCCAGTAGTCACATGCACATGCTCAGTTTAGTGTGTATTGCTAGAGAGGTTTTTTTTTTTCTTGGGAGAATGCATGTGATCAGCACAGGGCCAATCAGCACTGTCCAGATAGAGGTTCAGTGGTTTTGCAACCTCATAGAGCAGAAAGAAAACTCCTCCTAAAAGTGTTAACCAGTGCTCTGCTGTAGTTACAAGACTGCTCTAACTACTGATGAGAAAAGGTATTTAGCAGTTTACATTTATTAAAATAATTGTATTTCCATGTTGTGTGTACTGTGGGAGACCAGATAGAGTGAATGCAGGATCCTGGGTTTAGTACACTAACACTTTAAGTGTGAATGTTCGCTTAGTTACAGCATGCACCAATGTAAGTATGCATATCTCATACCTGAGTGATCCCTGTGGAAGCTGCAAATCACTACTGTAGTAGTTGCAGATAATACAGTAATAGCAGCAGTCTTCTGGGCAGTGTTAAGCTGCTTCCTTTCTGCATTGTAACCACAGGGTTTGCCATTCACAGAATGCCTTCTATTTATTTCAGTGTATACAAAAACATTCTCTGATTGGAGGAGGTGGAAATTATGTCATTCAAACAAAGAACAGCTTGTTTTCAATTAAAAAATACAAGGAATTCTCTGAATGGTGGCACTGTGCAATAAAATTCTTACCTAAACTTTAGCTTTAAGTAAGCACATTCAGACTATTCAAAAGTAAGTCATTCAAACTTAAACAGGAAGCAATGTATGACTTTAGTTAGTCTCAATGTATATAATGAGAAAGACCCAAGACAGTGTTGTAAAAGTTTCTGTTATCATATTTTAATCTTGTACATTAATCTTATTACACAGCCAGTTGCTATCAATTATTTTCATTTTCATATTTTGCAATTGGTTTTACAGTGCTCAGTATTAGCAATGGTATTGCTAATCAAATCAAATTAGATTTTTTAAATGTCTGTACTAAAGTTCTCTTGTAATAAATTTACAGCCAAGTATATTTAATAAAGTAGCAGCTGCTTTATTACTTTTCAACAAATTGTTTTTATTACAGTGGGACCAATATGAGACCATGCTAGTAGTTTTTGAGCCAATGGAACATGCAGCATACTTCTAGTTAAAGCACATCTAAAGCTCAAAACAAAAATGTATTATAATGTACTGTAGCTCACCAGTCCCCTGTGGTTTCCCTCCTGCAATGTGTTACCTGCATGGACCTTGAGTTTATTTTAGGCCACGCAAGAACCTCCAGCTGTGTTTCTCTTTCTCCAATATGCTATCTGCGTGGACCCGTGGGAGACCAGGCCACACAACACTTTTTTGTTCTCTTCCCCTCCTGCAATGTGCTACCTGTATGGGCTTGATTTTAGCTAGGCCACACAAGACCTTCACCTTCCCCAGGACCCTGTGAACACTCTCTTGGGGTTTCTGTCATGTTCCCCCCTCCTGGAATGTGTTGCTGTGTCTGTATCTCTGCTCTGTGATCCTGAACTGAACCTTTGCTGTATCCTGTTAGTACTGGCTCCCACTGTGCCCAAATCTCTGCAGCATGTATTCCTGGACTTATCCCCTTGCTGTTTTGTATCACTGCCTGTGGCCCCAGTGGATTAACCCTAGCTGCACCTTAGACTCCTATCACTGATCTTGCCATTCCATAGTACTCCTTTGGCCCCTGGACTCACTACTTGAGGTATCTTGTCATCACCCTGGATGCTGTTGTGCCCTGGTATCACTGTGACCTTGCTGTCCTTGCACAACCTGTGATTGCTGCCATGTGGACTTAACCCTTTGGCCAAAACCTCTGTTTCTGGAACCCCTCAACAAAAGAACTCTCGGTTAAAATTACTCTACCTCCACTTGTATTCTGTTCTGCCCATACCTCCCTCACATACTGTAAACTCAAAGCAATGTAATGCTGGCATTATGTAATTCTAAATGTGATCCTGTAGTGCTGCAACAGCTGTGTCTGATTCTTCTACATGGACAAATGTAAGAGTTACAATTATCCATGCTTGCAAAGCAAAATCACAGCTTAAATGTGTATGCTCACATTAGTCTTATGCCAATTGTGACTTTATATTCCTTGTTAAATGAAAGACCCAGGCATTAATGTCTTCATCTGGAAAAAAAAACATATAAGAAACCATTAATGACTATTTTACATAGCTGGTAGAATAGCGTTGAGGTTTAGGGATGATTACTGTTGGTGGACTGCATTAAACATTTTATAGCAATACATCTCAGCTTTGTTTGGCAGCAGGCAATAGAAGACGGGAAAAACATAGCCTCTCCTGTTTGCCAGATGAATAAATATTTAGTGAGACAAAGTACAGCTATTACTAAAAGTTCCATTATCATAAAGACATTGGCTCTCGGATTTCCAATAAATATTTGTATTTTTGCCAAATAGTAGTATACTTAAAGCATCATCTTGTCTGGAATGGAGGATTCTTACATTTAAACCAACCTTTCTCAACCTTTTCAACACAGAGGGCACCATGAAAATAACTTTCCAGTCCCAGGGAACTCCTGCTAACAATGACTACATCTACAACTTGAGATACATTACTGTGATGGTCAGTGGGAAGACTGCTCCTTACATTTGTGATCATTGCGAAAAATGACCCCCTTACAGTTAGCTAAAAAGCTCATAGGTGTCAATAGGAACTTACCTGAGAGACAGAAATTGCTCCTTGCTCAAAGAACCCCTAAAACCTCTGGTGGAAGCATATGGTTCCAAAGACAACTGATCCAAAGACGCATTAATATTGTATGTTTAACAGTGTTTTGGAATGGCAAGTGAGATCAAGTATTGGAAGAATAGTTGATGATGATCATTCTTCTTGTAATTGTGACAAAATGATGGATAGTTTATCAAGAGGGTGACTTTCCCTATGGCATTTGTAAAATACCTCTAAAATACTAGTTTATAATTTGCTAAGGTAACTCCTCTGCTTCCCCTGATTGTCTGTAAATTATTGTTTTCAGCAACTTACACAAAGGTAATATAGGGAGAGCTGTGCTCTCTTATTATTCTGAGTCATTTGTTAGTGAAAAAAAGCTATTGTGTGCATGATCAAGGCTAGGTGGATTTTCTAAACTTTGTACACATTTTCAGAACTTTGTGTTCCTGAAGACTGAAAGCTTGTCATACTTCATGTTGGATTTTTCTTGTCAGGTAGACTAGGGCCGTACCATAAAAAAATAAATAAAATGCAAATACTATTCACATGCAGTAATTCAACTTTTTACCGTGACTGGCCTCTTTAAACGAATGTAACTTCATTGTTAGCAATATCCATTATTGAATGTATTCATGATCTCTCTTTTTTTTCACTATATTGGAAATAATACCCTC